CAGGTTGTTTCATTGCCATTGATGGGCGTATCCAATGCAACATTGTCTATAAGACAGCGATCTGTGAAAGAAGTTTTAGACAAAAACATCGCCTTGAAAAACAAGCAGCCTGCGGCGGACTACCTGCTCAGATAAAGCTCCTCGTTTGTAACCATGATGCGCGCAGTAAGCGCGATATGAAAGCCGTCTCTCGGCGTCAGGTCCTAAGCTGTCATGTAAGCTGGTCAGCTGAGGCTGATAGGTTAAGCCGTCAGCTGAAGACGAAGCGGACTAGGATTTGATTCACTGTAGAAAGAGTGCACCGATGAGGAAGACAATGCGGTTTAAAATATCCCTAATCGCTAATTAGGCAACTCGCAGCTGCGGCAATTGGAGAGAAAGATGGCGGCGCATCGAGCGCGTAGTGCCCTGCCCGTGCCAGCCATTGTCGCCAGTTCACCTGCATAATCTGTCGATACGGGTTGAAAGTTCGCGACAATGTGCATTAATAAGAACTTCCAATTCTGAATTTCCGCTCAGGACCGAGCGCGTATTTATTATTAACATTGATTGTCGGGCATGAATTACAGTAATAAATAGTGATTACTTGTGTAACGGCTACGGTGATTGCAATTTATCAAATCACCAAACAGCTGCGCGAGTAGCCGCAATGTATCACTACTTAGACGATTGCTACCGATGCTTCGTTCATTTTGACGCGAGTTTCTCTCATTTAGGCAGAGCGTGTGCGTGTGTGCACATGGCACTCATGTCGGGGTAATCAAGCGTTAATTGGCGGCAATTTTTGACGGACTATTATCGATGTCTCGCCTTATTTACTCCTACAAATTAATGACATATCAGAGAGTTTAACTTCCGCCGATGATTAAATCATAAGAGACGAGAGCGATGGCGCTAATAGCATTGCGTATAGACACAGAAAATGGGAGGAGCAGTATAGCTAGTGCCTTTTACACATAGACACGTTAAGAATACTCGTGTTATACGTGTGCTGTCATTGCTGCTATAAGCACAGACCACGTAGAGAGGTAGTGGGTTGCGTTTGCTACTACTAGTACCATATCACGATCGGCAGGGCAATCTACATCACGACAAGGTAAAGGCGACCTGCCGCGGCAACATATCTAGCGATGTGGCAGGCGTGTGTAACTGTGAAGTTGCGGAAATGAATTCGCGAAAACCGTAAAGCGCGTAAATCGTTCGCCGCGGGCGAAACTACACTAATGTAAATCGCTAAATTGTTGACTTAAACATTGCTTGGAGCGACCGCTGCGGTTTACATAGCAATACTTTTGGCCAGTCCTCCTCGGTTTCCAAACTGCAACAGCGCTCGACTCCCGTGGCGGGTCGAGGTGAAGTGACTACCGGCACTTTCCATTCGAGGCACCCGTGTTAGGCACAGCCGCTAATGTAAATTCACTCGTCTCGTCTTTGTGTGTCGTGAAACCCGATATGTGGTCTTTAATGGCGGTGCGGCGGGTCTATCCTGGCTTTACAAACGGCCAGAATTCAGTCCACAACCGGTCGCGCCGGCCGGCTGCACTTACGCAGCGCGTTCATACGAGCAGACGCGCTAGTGGCTGTCTGCTCTATTTACCTCAGCGTCAGCAAACACTAAAGGTGAGCGAGAGCGGTGCAAGATGGCAATAGCTATTTGTCATGAGTTAGACACGTCGCCCACCCACGCCACACACGCGCGCGGCCGCACGCACACCGGGCAGAACACACACCAACACACACACACACACACAGCACACACACACACATACAGCAGCACACACCACGGCAACAAACACAGCAAACACACGTACACACACACGGGCCACACACTGACACATCCACCACAACACAGCCACCACACACACACTACACACACCACACACACACACACACAGCACACACCTGCACACAGCGCATCACACGCATCCACACACATACGACACACCACACACACAACAACACAGCACACACACACATACGCGGCGCGCGCGCACACACAACACACCACACACACACACAAGCCGCACACACCCACCCACACACACACACGGCACCACACACACACACAGCAAACGCACACACACACACACACACACACGCACACACACCAACACAACATACATACACACATACCACACCCACACACACACACACACACACACACACACAAGCACACCGACACACACGCACACACACACACACACAGCACACCATGCAGCACTCGCAAGCAAAATGGGCTTAGATGCGCAGTCCACTAGAGCAAGTAATTAGTAACATAAGTAAATCCACAATTGTTTGCCAATTTGTTGTGGTTGGACCTATACTATATTTAAATTTACATAAGCAATTACGAGTTGCTGAGCTTTGTGTGTGTTGTGTGTGTGTGTGTGTGTGTGTGTGTGTGTGTGTGTGTGTGTGTGGTGTGGCTCTCTCTCTCTCTCTCTCTTCTTCTTCTTCTCTCTCTCTCTCTCTCTCTCTCTCTCTTCTTCTCTCTCTCTCTCTCATATATATATATATATATATATATATATATATATATACATATATATATATGGGGCGTCCTACCGCCTGCTCCTTCATTGATCGCCTGAGGGAGAAGCGGGCTCTCTCAATAGACAACGCGCGCGCACGTAACACATCTTTCCTCCGAAGAAATGACAAAGGAACGCAATAAAATATACGGTCCCCCGTTAATGTATGGTAATACGCATGTGAGTTACAGCACGAGCGCTCGCCTCGCAGTTTACAGCCGGTTGTTAAACGCCATGTTAAAGACACATGTCAAGTGGTTTCTCAAACGCCCCACGCGCGGCAACGTTCAGCGTGCGGCAGCGTTACACGCGCGGCCACAGGTAAACGTCAAGGCCTCGAACTTACCCCCGTTCGTGTCCACAACACGCTGCCGTGGACGACCCCGCCTCGTTCATGCGACACTAACTTGGCGACATATAAACGACTGTGTCGTTCGTTAAGTTTATCGTTTGCCTCCGCGTCTTATGTGCATGCACGCTACGAATGTTTCCGACGATTGCGTACGTGCGCTGATGTACGGAAGTGTTTGCGGTCCACTCGTTTATAGTACTATCATAATAACTATATCATCCGGTCATAACGAGTGGGGTGAATCTATACGTAACGGGGCTTTACGTTATTCCACTGGTCTCTGTGATATTTAGAATTATTTCTGCCAGCGAACCTAAGCGGAAATCCCGTTGTGCATCATATTGGAAGATGGCGTCGTTGTGCGGCTGACACTTTTTGATGTGTGAATTATTCAATCGGTCGCTTTTGTTCACGAGTTAATGGTGTTAAAAATACCGGCAGTTTTTTAAGTATACGAATCTTGGGTTTCTCCTATAAGACGGCCGCCCATATATCGCCCGTGAATCGCTTGTCCACGCCACAGCAAGCAGCTGTGGGCCTGATCATGCCTCTATTAAACAGCCGGCCATCTTGTTGATTTAATCGCATAGTTTTCGCATTACGGAAAGGCCCGTTAGGAGCGCATGCAGTCTTTAATATTTGCATGCGCCTCTCGGTCTGATCATCTCCCGTTTTAATTGTTTAGTCTTGGATTTCGTACAGTAGGCCGGCAACTTTGACTACAGATGTCGTGCATGCAGGCAATAACAGCATACAAATATTTGCACAGTAACCGCATAGCTGTATTGCATTAGCTCACTGGTTTTACACCACTCTCGTTCCCGCCGCCCGCGCCGCCGTTTCATTCACGGCTGCCAGAGTTGGACGCGCGGCGGCTTCGCCGAACGAGCCGAGAGAATGGTACAGCAACGAGAGAGCAACGGCGCGGGGGACGATGCAAGAATGCACGTATACCCATTACCTTCGGCCGCGACACAGATTTTACCACGAAAAGAAACCGTATTGACGGCAGCCCGCTAGCATGGACGTGTATTCGTTCTTTCGAATATTCGCGGTCGCGAGCTGCTATTTCATCGTGATAATTTCGCGGTCATCATCATCTTCATCGTCTGCGTTAATTATAGCGAGACGCAGAGCTAACAAACTAATTTTCATCGTTCGACGTTAAAATATGAACTTTTTTCCCCGCGCGTATGTAACGTAAGTGTAATGTATCCTCATAGTCGCACTATAGTCCTAGGTATGTCTGTCTCTTCTCATCATTCGCTCTCTCGCGAGATGAGCCATGTTGCTTCTCGTCACATCCCGTGCGTGAACGAGTTAAGTCATGTTTTTTTTCCGTCACATCCTGTGCGTGCATGAGTTGAGTTATGTTTAATTCTTCTCGTCAGATCTCGCGCGCGCATGAGTTGAGTTATGTTTCTTCTCGTCAGATCCCGTGCGCGCACGAGATGAGTTATGCGGCCCCCAGCTCTCGCTGAGAAATCTTAGAGCAACAAACAACTACTAGCTTTTTTCTCACCTAATTCCCCCAGCATCTCTCTATCCGCTTCTCGTTGCATATGACGGCGCGGGAAATGTGTTTGCGCTTGCGCGAGAATTTTTGTGTAAATCAGATAAATCTGCGACAGTTAAAATATACGGCAGCTGCTGTCGCATGGTGTGGTCGCCGGCATGCACGACTTTCGAAACGAAACAGCGCGTTTATTTCTGTAAACCATTTGAACGCGGAACACATTCCGGGCTTACAAGGATTCGTCACGGGGTGAGGTGTGCGTAAACTAGTTTAAGTTATTCGCTGTGATGTAAGGGATGGACATACAGACAGAGTTTATACATGTACATGCATTCACAAACGCGCGCATCCACGCCACGCATGTCCTAGCGTACGCACGCACACGACCTGCACGCGCACGCACGCATGCACAGACACGCGTGTGTGTATTTAATTTTAGTTTGCATTTTTAGGATGCGTGCGTCTAAAATGAAATAAATCGTATAGCAAAAATATATTAAATATATATGCTCTAAACTATTGATTTCCCTATTGCAGCTTTCCACGTGCAGTTACAGTCCGTACACGAAACAGATTTTTTAAACACGAAAGCGATACTCAATTCTGGTAAATACTGCATACTATATTTTTTAATATAGACGACTTATACGTTACACATTGTGGACACGCAATTCCAGATCAATATCAATAGATCTAAGCATGCCATGATAATACACCTTCACAGAAACAAAGTCCAATTAACAGTATAGACAAGCTACTACGAAAAAAAATATTATGTACAAACCGTATACGATACAAATAATTTTGATTCGAACCAATATTATAATATCATTATACCAAGATAGCAAATTTCTGAATGAGCTATTCCTGAATTTGTGAATCTATTTAACGTCACAATACTCTTTGGTAAAATTGTCTCTGAGTGTACATAACCACTCGACCTCCCATCCACGTACATTGGTACCCCGACGATAGAGGAAGCGGCGTAAAATGTTAAAAACAGCGCGAAATAAATTGCAAACCTTTGATCACCGATATAATTACTGCTGGTCCACGACGAAGGTTCTCAGTCTACATTTTTTTAACCTCACATCTACTTCAAATTATAAACTCAAACAGCTTGGAATAGTTCAACCCAGACGAGGGTCGGTCGGATGCGTGTGTGACAGCATCGTGCGCTATTCCGCCCCAGCCTATAATCTAAATAGACATAGAGAATTATATACGTGTGGGTGAAAGACTAGAAAAATACAAATATATTACACAAACTTTTGCACATATAAACACAGAAAAATCGGAATTTATAACCAACAGATGGTCGCCTACGAGCGCGGCATGCGGGGAATGGCACTGGATCAACACATGTGGGGAACATCTCACAACAGACTTTCTGCTTTACGACGATGCTGCTTTTCCTAAGAAGCCCCAACAGGATTCGCTACGAGTTTGGCTGCTTGATTTTTTTCCGGCCTTTACTCGTTCGCATACATGTTGCCAAGTTGAGAGAAGGCGGTTAATCTCGTTATTATATTCGCCTGCCGACAACGACGAAGCAGCGAACGCGCGTTTCACCAAATCTGGATGCCGTCAGTGCCATTCACCGAAACGAGCACTGTAGGATCTTCTATAGAGAATACTGTTTGAAACACCGGGTCAAACCTCAGCTCAAAACCAACCGTCCGCACATTTACGAGCCCGTGCGCAATACTACGCGAAACACTAGCGATAGGAATCGTTGCAAACGAAGCATTACTGCCTGCTACAGTCATGGAGAAGTGAAATGAATGGGAAGTATAAAACGAAGTAACTGTTGTTGGAACGGTTACAGTGTTTCGAAACAGCTGATGTAAATCCAGAATTGGGTTAAATAATCGGAAGTCGTCGGAATCGTTATTTCTAACGCAGAGATAGTTAATTTATGGGAAAATATATGCGCGTCTCTCGGTATAATAAAGCTGTGAAATGAAATTGAATTCGTTTATAACACATCTTGCAGCGAGTTGTTACACGCAGAGGCTGTAATATCCGATAGGGAATTCCATATGTGTGGTCATCGAATATATCGCTGCTCTCCGCTATGCGTGCGAAACCGTTGTAGGTATAGCCAGTCCGGGTTTGTTAGTTTATAACTAGTTCACACTAATTTGTTACCATTCCCGCCTTGACTGCCATATAGTCATAATGTCTGATAGTCGGACAGTAGTCCGTGCTGTTCGCTGGAGCTTGACACGACGACTGGTCCGCCGCCTACCCCCGGGATTCCACTCATGCCCATGTTGAGGAGGGCCTGTATCTGATGCTGCTGCGCCGATGAGGACATCCCGCCGAACATGGCGGCGTGCTGATGTTGATGCTGGTGGTCGGTGTGGTGCTTGGGGCTGTGGTCGGGCGGGCCGTGCTGCTGAGGCTGATGCTGAACATGCTGCTGCTGTTGTTGCTGCTGTTGCTGCTGTTGCTGCTGCTGCTGCTGTTGCTGCTGCGAGTGCATGTCGGGAGAGATGGCAGGCTTGGAATCGTCATCGTCGTCGCTCGCCAAGCTTGTTTGTCCGGTACCCGCGCTGAGCAGAGAATTGTTATTAGCGGATTTCTCTTCTCTGGAAGAGAGTAAACGCTACACGTGTAACACACTCTCATGTACGAATTGATCTAATCGCGTGATAATCCGTTAACGGATTAATCGTCCGATGTAAGATGTATCGGTGACTATACAGAAGTGGCGTTATTAACAGCAATTATGATCGAGGCTTAATTATGTTATTGCTAGCCAGCTCGGTGTTTCCCTATGCGGATTAGAAACCCCGTGCGATAATAAAAGTCTTAGTTATGCGGCGAGGGCCGCGATAATGTTTGAAGAAGGTATTACGTTCTTGTGTTTACATACGTCGTGTTATTTTCTTTGCACCCAATATCTGTGTGCGGTAGCGTAAAATTTATGAAGTTGCATTAAAAATGTACGAGATTTTTATTTTGTAAATTTTTCATAATTATAACTTTAATAAATACACATTCAGTAATAAATATATTCAGTTTATAATCTAATATTGTGGTACAGATATATAATAATAATGTATAGGGGCATAATATAGTTTCATGATACCAAATTAACTAAAATATTAATAATTATATTATTGTCTTTGCCAGTGTTGTGTGTGAGTGTGAGCATCTCTCTCTCTCTTTCTTTCTCTCTCTCTCTCTCTCTCTCTCTCCTCTCTCTCTCTACTCTACTCTCGTCTACTCTCTAC